TACTTATTGACCAAACCCAAAGACTTGATGTGTAAAAATCATTCTGGTGTTGGAGATGGCTCTACTTCAGCTGTATTCTCTCATAATAAACAGCTACGAGGCTGAGTTACTGCCACAGTTTGCCTTTGACTATAAATCAGTCTCAACAGATGTTCATTCCTTCATATTCTATTAAGCATCTGAGATTATGTTTGAAATATATTGGAATAATCAGCACTTGAGACATATTCATTTATACCAACAGGATCTGGTGATGATAATATCCTTGTAATTACACCACTATGAGCATTCTCAGCAAGGACATATTTTTTTCTATTAAAATCCTTTAAAATATTTATAGCTCTTGGTTTACCACTATATCAGAGTATTTCCTTTCCCTTTAGCCTATTTAATACACTTTCCTACAGAATGTTAAGTGTCTGGCATTTAAGATTACTTGGTTAATAAAAACCAGTTTATGGCTAGCAGTAGACTTGAGATAATATGTTGTACACAAAGCAGCAGTTTTTTCCATCTGACTTACAGAATCTTTGGAGCTGTGTGACAGCTTCTAAGGCACAGACTGAAGACAGAAATTAATTACCATTTTACTGCAAAAGACTATGGGCAACCTTCTGCCCCCTACTCTTAAGACCCTATTTTCAGGGGATTGTGATTGGAGAGAGTCCTTCTGATGGATCTCCGCACAGAAATAAATTTTACTTTGGCTGAAAGATCTTGAAGGAAATATTTTTACTTGGAAGATTAATGAACACCTTCTGCTGAATTACTTGTTCACCCAAAGTTCCGTCTCCTCAGCGTATTAGCAGCATGTACTTGAAGGCAGTAGCCCATGTAGGAACAGCTGCAGTAGTTAGTGAAGGTTTTCCTCAATCCAACAGCTGAAAAGGCACTTTTGTCTGACTTCTTTAAAAGCTTCAATTTCACTAGAGGTGCATTTGAGGACTGAGGGCTTAGGTTAGGTGAGACTGACGAAATGAAAAAGTGTGATAAAGAGTATTTGTAATCTAGCACATGGAACATTAGTTTTTACGTGAAATCCTGGTTCATGTCTCATCAAAACTGTATGTGTACACGTGTTTATTTTAAAACCTGGGATTTTTTAAGACGCAAATTATTTAATCAAAAACATTCATTACATGGTTAGTTTGACATTTTGATCTGTCTTTATTACTCCACAATGTGCATTTAAAAATAAGGTGCTCTCTAAGAAATGGTCTAAGTCTTTGTGGGTTTCACTGAGTTCACACCTTGAGTTCTGATAAAAGAGAAAAATGGCCCTCCCCTGTACTGGTGTACAGTAATATAGCTCAAAATTTTTCCTTTCCCTTGCTATGGAACTTATCTGATCTCTTTCTTTTCTATCCATCTGCTCATTTTCACTTATTCAATACCTATGAAGTTTTCTGTTCTGTATCTATCATATGTGATTAACATTAACTAACAGATCCAAAATATACTATGCAGGACCTAGAGAGAAAGTGATGATGTCAACGCTAAGAAACCTGTCTAAGAACCAGAGGGAAATTGAACCAATGCAGCACATGCTAAATTAATGGAACTCTGGCACCCAGCAAACTTTGCAGATATCACAAAACCCTTGCAGTACAATTGATGAGGAGGACAGGTTTAGCTCTGCAGAAGAGCGTGAATCACATGCTAGACTGTGCCCACGTTATGGATGAGAATGTATGACACATTTACCAGTGGCATTTATATTTCAGAAAACAGTGACTTGAAAGCAAATTTGAGCTGAACATGGCTCAAAATGTGATAGAGAACTAAGAACACAGTGAAGTCTTAATCTAAAAGGAGAGAACTACCAAACAGAAGAGATAGTATTACCACATGATGAGTTATTAGTGAAAATCTTTATTCAGTTCATCCATCTGCACAATATCAACTGCACTAAAATGACAGGAACAATCCAGAAAAGAATGATGAAGAGTATTAGCAACCAGGAAAATCTTTCTAATTCTGCGAGTAAAGAAGTTAAAACTATTTAAGCTCTGATACATTAAGCTAGTGGATTACTTTGCAGAACATTATGTTTGCTGTGCTGGCTGCCCACAAGTATGTGCTTTACCTTGTGGACAACACAAGGTTGTTTTGTCCTCGAGGAAAATGGGGTTAGCTGTTTTACATTCACATGGTTAAAGGCGAGCACAAGAACCTCTGCTGCAGAGTAGCTAATGTACTATCTCCTTGTTGCCTGACAGCAACTTACCCTACAGTGCCACATCCTCAGTGAATTCAAAAGTAGGTTAGATATGACGTGGTCAAGACACAGAAGTACCAACATGAGAAGCTGTCATATTTTTGTGGTCTATTTAAACTAACACAATCCAGCAGCTGGAAGCTGAAGCTGGAAACATTGAGACTGAAAATTAAACCCTAGTTTTCTAAAGATGCTAGATCTATCAGTTACGTTCTTGAGGCTAAAATTGCAAATGTTTCTAAAGGCTCACATAGAAATTTTATCTTTGATACAGGGAATACCTTAGAAACATCTTGAGTCTGATTTGTCCAAGCAGTCACATTGCACAAATTTCCTTTTAAAATCACATTTCCTTTTAAAAATCAATATATTTAAAAGCACAGAAAGTTTCAAGGTTGCTTCTGCCTCCTCGACATGGGACCCCAACAGCAACCATATTCTCAGGAGCATAAATGAATGTCCCAGAATGTCTGGACTGAAAATCAATTTATGGATTATATCTATGCTGCTTTTAAAAGATCATTTATAAATTATTATTTCTTTATAAATCAGCCTTATAAATTAGGATTTGATCAAAAACAAAGAGAAGGCCCAGCCAGTGGCAAATGAGATTAAAATTAGAAAAGGCACGCTGAAGGTTGAGCTCTTACTCTTGCATGCCAACATCACGGCTAATTTCATTAGCATTCAGCTGAAATGTGAGCTTGTTAACATCTTGCCATCACTGAAGACACATCTATAGGGGGGTGCCCTATAGTTTTTTTGTGACAGTTATATTTCTTCTGGTCAATAACCTGCTTCTGTGCTGCTTAATAGGACATTGCACTCACCATTTCCTTCTCTTAAAAGCTTTCCTCTTGTTGATACCCTTAGACAGTAAGAAAGGAAGAGGAAATCCATTTACTTACAGCTGAAATCCTGTCCAAAATCCCTGTTACAGTTTGAGCGCTACAAAAGCCCACAAAAAAACCCACTTCTTGCCATCTGAATCCACAGAAGAGATGAGTTCCAGTGGCTGAGCTGAGGTAAAATTTTCACATGATTTTTAATTTCACTGAGGAGTCTTAAGAAAGTACATCCCATCCTATTTGCCTCGGTTTTCCTCCTTTGAAGGTTAAAATTATATTTTCAGAATCATGCAGGGTCACTTCTGGGTTTGCACATACAGACATCCAAACACACATATACACGTACATTGGTGCATATTAAAGGACTTGCAGAAAATCTGAGTCCAAATCTGACAGGAATAATTGCTCTGTCAAAAATCTCACTGCAGGAGCCTTAAACAGCAGCACTCTCAGCTTTCCAAGTGTAGGACTTGATGTACAAGGTTAATCACAAAGATTCATTTTGTTGAGGGATCAGAAACCCAAAGCTGGCTCTATATAATACCTAAATCCCTTAATTCAACCAGCAGAGCCACAGTGCTTCTGTCCTCTAAAGTTGATACTTTCTATTAATTCAAGATAACTGTGCATTCAGCTTTCTTTTCAGGCCAATTGCTAGAGGAAGAGTTTTGCTGTCGGAAGGAAAGAAAACTCACAGTTCCAAAAGACAGGAGATTAACTGCTGGTCCCTTTGTAGTTAATAGAACTTTTATTACTGCCTCCAGAGCAGGATTTCACCAAATATGTTTGATTATGTAAAGTTACATTTCTGTGTCCTTTTCTATACATTTATTTGCACGCAAATGAAAACCAGAAACTCTTCTGAACTCTGCTTTCACATGCAGATGAAAGGTTTTCCCTGAAAACAACTAACATGAAAAATTGCAGGCATATGTGTATTGTTCTCTAATAATTTCTCTGATGTAAATTCAAAGCTCCAATCTATTGACTCCTAAGGATAAGACACCTTCACGGAAAACTTCAGATCACGCCAAAGCAAAATCCTTCCTGGAACTCATCAGAACAGATACTCAAAACCTGAATTTGAATTTTGTTCTTTAGCATGACCTCTATAAAAAAATCAGCAAAACACATGGTAACCTTACAGCTGATGACACTTCTCCATCTCACCATGAAGACAGGGAAAATGGAATGGAATGACTTGTGAAGAAGAGGATAATGTGAACATGATATTCCTGGACCAGTCTCTTTTCTCTGTATCACTTCAAATACATGGTGAAAGCTGACTAATCACATTAACATTTAGGGACATCATTTTATAATAATGGCTGGGAGATATCTTTGTTCATACCATTCTGTTAAAGAAATGACCTGAACAGAAAATACACTTTGCATGAATCTCCCACTGATATGAGTAACATCATACAGTAATCAGCGTGGGCAGAAATTACAACACAGTTTGTGGAAGTACAGCATAGGTTGTAATTCTTGAAATGGTTCAAGCAAACAAACAAATAAATAAAGATCCCTTAGGAAGTCTGAAGACAGAACAAATATGGTCAGTTTCTTCTGCATCAGAAGAGCTATGAGAACATCTATGTGCTTTGAAACATTTGCTTTCTCTCAACCTGTTTGGCTAGTCTACCATATTGCCGAAACAACTGTATAATAGACATTAATAAATTTATAGCAAAAGACATTATCTGGCTAAAAAAATGGAAATATTTATTTAAAAAACCCAACAAACATGAGCTACCTATGTCCTAAAAATGATGAATGACAGGTGATCAGATGAGATGAAAGTTATAGTAAAATGGGTATATGACTACAAACTCTTTTACTGAAAATGGCTTTACTACTTCAAGTATAGTCACAAACATTCTGTTAGTGTGAGTGTATGTAAAAAGATAAGGACACTATCTACATTTACCTACTCTGATCCCAGTTGGCTGCAAAAAGCAGAAGAATCTTCCTGCCACAGTGGTCGCGATTTTCCAGTACTCCTGGGAACCCATCTGTCAGAGCCCGTTTGATTCCTGGATCGTCGGCCTTGAAGTTTTTGAACATTTCCAGGTTTAACTGGCGGTACTGGAAGTACTGAGCCAGCAGTCTGAAGGCCTCAGTTTGGTGAAACTTTCTGGCTCGGAGAAATCTCAAGATGAAGGCATCATCTGTACGTAAAAACCCGATGTCAGGCCTTGTGATAATCATGTCCCTGACTTGCTGGATATCCTGATGCAAAATGTCTGGGTTTTCATTCAGTTCCAGGCGGGCTTTCTCTATAGTCTCTGGACTAAGTCCAGCTTGTAAATGGGTCATCTCTGCAAAAAACTCTTTTCCAAATCCTTAAATTCGGATACTTTAGTAGAAGTGCTGATCCCATTCAACTGATGGTCCGCTATGAGTGTGAGCCATTCAGATGCTTTTTCCCATCAGGCTGATATTTACCAAACAAAAGCAAAGGGCTTTTCCTGTTCTTGCAGGAAGAGTAACAGGCAGTTCACATGTAGGATAATCCATCCAAAGGAAAGTGTTGTTTATTCCATCACTTACTAAAAGAAAAAGAAAACACATAAAATACTAAATACTTATATAAAGCTTGCAGGAATGCATTTTTGAATTTAGATAGACATAAAATTTCTTTGTATGCTTTATAGGTATGAGGATTCCAGTCAATTTCAGAATGAGTGCATTTAAGATAAGGCAGTCACTAACATCTTGAATGTATGTATTTAGGCTTTCAAAAAAGTAATGTGATTTATTGACAAATAATACTAAGCTGTATCAACTTACTATTCGAATACACTTTGCAATGTTGTCTTACAGAAGTGTGGGAGTTGAAGCATCCCATAACTTTAAGCCAGGAATGACAAAAGAAAAAATAACAGTAAGTTTTTTCCACTACTAACAGGAACAACATTTCAGCTTCATAAATACTCAGATTTACCCGCATCATACTAAGTAGAACAGCTGTTTGATTTGGTTTTATCAACTGTACTATCAACTTGTAGCTTTCCTTGAATTAAACACTAAGCTGACTGTAAAACTGATTTTTAAAAAATCCCAAACTCCATCAACATCGGGAATAATTTCTACTTTGTATAAACTCACTGAAGATATTTCCCATTGAGACTTAATACATCTTCATGGGAAGCTCTACATGAACAAGGTATTTGATGGTATTTAATCAGACAGGGCTGGTGTTTTAGTTGAAAAGAGACGTATTTTATACCAAATATATTTTTCAGTATATTGTAGCTTTCCTGCATAACTTGTTCTGAATTTCATTTTCATTTCTGTACTTTACCTAGAATTTTTTTTTGCAAATGATAGAAGAAAAGCTGCTTATTTTGTTATGTATGAACAAAACGGTACAGTGTATCTCTTACATTTCAGTGACATAATTAAGCAAGAGGCTGTCATCGAAGTCTGTGTAGTTACACTTGTGTGAAATAAGATCAAGGTCTGTCCCAATGTGATATGTGTGCGAAGAAAGATCAAGACCCATACAATTTTTCAGCCATCACAGAAACAGACAAGCAAATGTCCCCTGCCTCCACTGCTTAACTGATCTCTCTTTCTAACTTCTGAAAAATTGGTTTTAAAAATTAAAAGGGAATCCCTCAGTGAAAGACACATTTTTTGTATTTGAAGAAAGCTGTTTGGAAGGTTATGAATTATTTATAGTAAAACAACCATTTCACTCAGCTACTCCCCTGGGTTCAGCATTCTCAGATCAAACAAAGGGGAGAGCACGAGTCAAAGTATTTTTTGGTTCAGGGTTTGCTCCAAGTTACATTGCAGGACCTGGAAGTCAATCCACACAAGGGATGCCTCAGTTCCTTGTGTTGTGACCTTGCATGTTATTGATAAAATCTACATTTTAGATGCCGCAGCTGCAGTTCCAGGATGAGATCCCAAAATCTGAATACAGAGAGTTTCTGCATATTTGCTTAAAGGACATTTGTGGTGGGAGATAAGCTTTTCATTTAACAGCAATGTGAATTGGACTTTTTTGTAGGTAACACAAAGGAGAGTTTATTAAGCATCCTCTTTCTGTATTCACTGTGGAAATGGAACTGAAAAGAGCTACCTGCAGGGCAGAGTATCTGGTGATTGATCAGCCTGGGAAAACTTCAGGAAAGGCAGAGCTGGGAGAATAGAAGGCTTTCACAAGGCACTACAGAGTGCAAATGACTCAAGAGAAAAAAGTCCTCAGGTTTTGAGGGATAATTTATGGGTGCAGGTTATTCAATTCTGAAAGAAATAAGAGTTGTATTAAAGGTAGATTCCTCATATAGAAATAAAGTAACAGCTATTTGCTTTGCTCTTGCTTTCATTAGACCAAATTTGAATAACTCCTATTGTATCAACTGAATTCCACTGATGTAAAATTGCAGTAGGTTATAGGAAACCAAGCCAATATTTTGTGACTGAGATCTCAAATTAATGGTGACACTAGCATTTTCTTGCACAAATCATGATTTTAGTTACAACTGCCTCCATGAGCTAGTTAGGGGAGCTTAGGTGTGATACTGTCATTGGGGGAGTGTGGTACAAGGATTTGTCCCTCCTTAGTTTAAACAGCAAATAGTAGAGTAAGGAAACTGTTTGTGCTAAAGGATTCTCAGCAGAAGAGTGGAAGCAAGAAGCTTATCTGGGGTCTGCATTAGCTCTGGCTCAGGGCTCAGTATGAATTACAACACTTTTAGCACTCCTGTGGCTTCGAATCTGAAAATAATTGAATCACAGAATGTTTTAGGTTGAAAGGGACCTTTGAAAATCATCTGGTCCAACCTCCCTGTCATGAGCAGGGACATCTTTCACTAAACAGGTTGTTCAAAATTCCATTCAACTTGGCCCTGAACTCTTCCAAGGATTGAGCATTCACAATTTCTCTGAGCAACCAATTCTGTAGTCTCACCACCACTATCACAAAAAAATTCTTCTTTATATTCAGTGTGAACTTGTCTTTTTTCAGTTGAAAAATGTTATCCCTTGTCCTATTACTACAGGTCCTCCTAAAAAGTCTCTGACCGTCTTTCTTTTAAGCCCCTTTTAGATACTTGAAGGCTGCTGTAAGGTCTCTCTGAAGCTTTCTCTTCTTCATGCTGAACAACCCCAACTCTCTCAGCCTGTCTTCACAGGAGAGGTGCTCCAGCCCTCTGATCATTTTTGTGGCCCTTCTCTGGACCTGTTCTAAAATGTGCAAGGACTAGTGGAAGATAACTGTGTCACACACACAACCCCCAGTGGATTCATCCATTTTCTAGGAGTTTACAGGGAGTAAAACTGTTCATTTTCTGACTCCCATCTCCACCAAGATATTTTCTTCAGAAATAAGGCAAATTCTTGAAAGGTCAACTGCAGTCTGCTCCAGAAGAAAAATGAGATTTGACCAAGGAGATAAAGTCTGGCCCTTCTTATTGGATCCCCAAGTATTTAATGTCAAAATGGATGCTACTTATTTTCATTAAAGTTGCACACCATTTTTAACTAATTTAAATGCCCGGGATTACCTCAAGGTGAGGGAGATACAGTCCTTTCCTGTCAGACATTGTTGCTGAAAAAGCAACTTACAAATATTCAGCATAACATAAAATATATTTTTAAATGCGTTTCAGAGTTTTCTGATAGTGAGCTGAGCTATAACCATGGATTACAGTTATCCATAGATTATCCTGATTATCAGCCGGAACAGACTGCACTGAAATATTTTAGTGGTGTGAAGTTATATATTGCAAAATAATCTAAAATATGTGCGAAAAATTTTGTCGCTATTTTAATCACAGCACAAATCATAAGGTTAGTAATCCACTCTAAAACCATTGCCTTCAAGGAGCCTGATATATATCAATGGATGAGCTGTACTCCCACTACTAACCTTGACAATAAATTTAATGCTCCATAGCTAGCCAGTTTAATTGTCACTGCACTTTCTCAAATGGTACTGATTTATTCTGATTCCCAAGGTATAACAGACCATTTTCACCCCCTCCCACCCATGGCAATTTCTCCTTCTCTTCCAGTGTTGTGTGCGGCTCTCATCCATCTGCCAATTTTTCAGATGTTTACATCTTTGTTCAGTTTGGTTCAGGGTTGGTTTATCTTCCAAATGAAGATGCTGGCTTTTTTTCCCTACCTTGAATATTGTTGCTGCATGTTGGCACACTAGACTCTTTGTTATAGTCTCAACAGTTGTTTTTCTATCTTATGATTCTTTGTTCCCAAAGGACTATTTGCTCTTCTAATGTCTTTTCACAGCCACTTACAATAAATCATCCCTCCAAAGGAACAAAACGCAGATTAAAAAAAAAAAAAATTACAGAGATTTGAAACACAGCATACTTATACCCAAAAGGGACAGAAATTTCCACCAAAACTTTGGTGTCACATATCATTTTGGTTTATTCAATTCCAATCCAAACAAGAGAACAGCAAGGGACAGAGAGTGGCTTCAGGATGGGTAGCAAACTGAAAGTGGGATACAGTTTTTAGACAAGCAGCTTATATTTTTCATGATAAAAAATTTAGTTAATAGTAAAATGTATAGTAATACTATACAAACAAAAATGAAAATGACATATTATGGAAGATCTTAATATGCTTTACTGCTCTCTCTTCAATGACAGTTTCTGGATCAGCATTCAATCCCTATTTGCTCTGCATCCCCTGGAAGATTGGCCAAAACCTGTTCTTAATGATGATGGTATTTGTCTAGATCATTTTGTTCCTTCCCGCTTAGCTGTCCCTGCAATATCACTTGTTTTTTTTTTTTTTTTTTTTGAGGACTTCATGTCCATTTGGCCCTTTCCCATCCAATTCAGTTCCAGAAAGATTTTACTTGTCTCTGTGTCTACCAAGTGTTTTTCATTCAGTCCAAAGCTATATGGAGTGTGAAATTTCATTACCATGGTTTTCAAATGGAGAAGGAACTAGTGTTTGATCCTCACCTGGTATCAGGAGGCATCACTGCTAAGGTTTGGCTCATTATATAATTCCTAACTGCTAGCATTCATACAGACATTAGCTGCTAAAATCATGCCAGAGAGGAAGGGAGTGGGCAGGAAGGGAGGAAAAGTGGTAATCCAGAATGATTTCATCTCAGAGAGTGGGTGTCATCTCATTAAATTGCTTTTTGAAAAATATTTTGATGTGAACTGTGGAAAACCTCTTGGGGCTATGTTCTGCTTAGCAGGCGTTTCTTCATAAGGACTGGGTAGGGTGAATCCATATCTGTACCTATAGGAATGGTTCCTATGGCACTTTGTGGCCTTGGGGTACCTTAGTAGGAACCTGCTCTGGAAATGGAGTGGTCAGACATAGAATGGGAACTACTCCAGCTCCGTGAACTAATTTCAAAGGAGCAATGAGAAAAACTGATTCTCTCTTGTCCTTGATGGCAAGACCATGGCATCTTCCACAGATTGTGGGGAGAAGCACAGCCCTGAGTGATTTGCCTGAGATAGTGGAGGACACATTTCACATAGCTGGGAACAGATCATATGTCCCCTGAGCAACAAGTTTACACATTAATATCTGGGCAACCTTTCCTCTCTATGCATAATGCTCTGCATCATAAGAAAAACGTGAAGCCATGTTGCACACAGGGACATAGAGAGGTAGACAGCAATGTTTCCAGTGTCCCCAGTGTAATCATCTTAAGCTTCAAAGGCACAATCAGGACTCCCAAAGTGTACCGTTTCTTTAGATTTTGCAAAGACCAACCTCCCTATGGGGCTTTCCAACAGGACTGTCTCATATCCCAAGTCCAATAGCCTGGTTGCTCCTCACATTATTATAGAATCACAGAAAGGTTGACACTGGAAAGAACTTCTGGAGTCTATCTGGTCCAACCCCCTGCTCAAGCAGGGCCTCCTAGAGCTGGTTCCCCAGGACTCTATCCAGACAGCTTTTGAGTATCTCCAAGGAGGGAGACTCCACAGCCTTCCTGGGTGACTTCTGCCAGTGTTGTCACTCTCACAGTAAAAAAGTGTTTCCTGAAGTTCACAGCAAACCTTCCATGTTTCAGTTTGTGCCCTTTGCCTCTGGACCTGCATTGGACAACACTGAAAGGAGTCTGGCTCTATCTTCTTTGCATCTTTTCTTCAGGTATTTGTATGAACTAATAAGATCCTCCTGAGCCTGTTCTTCTCCAGGCTGGACAGTCACAGCTCTCTCAGCCTTTCTTCATGTGAGCAACACTCCAGTCCCTTCATCATCCTCGTAACCCTTTGTCAGACTTTATCCCATATGTCCATGTCTCTCTTGTACTGAGGAGCCCAGAATGGGACACAATACTACAGGTGTGGCCTCACCACCACTTCTTTTTAGCCCTTCCCTAAGGGTCTAGATTGTCTCAGTAAACATAAATGAGTTAAATATTGCAAGTCTTTCTTCTCCAGGTACTGATGCTCCTGTAAACCTTCACTAGGGAATAGTTGTTCCTCTTCAATATGAAAATAGTGAATGTTTGTTACTGTAGTTGCTGTGAGAGGAATTTCATGGTTTCTCACACTTTCCCAGGATAGAAAACCCTAGCTCAGGTACAAAAACCTAACATTTCCTTTAGTTCAGTAAAAACAACACATCATGCATTCCTATTCCCCTCATACTACAATCTTCTTGTTAGTTTGAGTCAGCTGCAGATTACCCTCAGGCCACATCTAAACGTCTAGAGCTGGTAATGTAGCCATGGCACAGCACAAAACCTGGCAGCAACTCAACTGATCTTTGCTGCTCTCTGCACAAATAAAAAAGTTAAACAAAATACCCATGAACTTGAAGAGATTAGTTCAACTTTTCTCGAAGTCATAGTTTTTAAGTGTTCACCAATCACAGATAAACTGCAAATCCCAGTGGGAACCTGAGGACCTGTGGCATGCCCCAGAAACAGCAGTCTATGAGGGACTTCCATGACAGCCATGAGCTACTGCAAGCACCTCCACGAAGAAAAGCATCCTGGCCACTATGGAACAGAGGTCACTTGTCCAATAATATAGAAACTTCTTGCAGCAGAAATTATCAGCAATATGCAAAACATGAATTCTGACCCCCAAGTCTCATAATTAAACTATATGCAGAAATCTGACAGCATGCAGTCATAATACTGGTGTCTGAAAATCCCTAAGTGCAGTAGAAATTGTTTTACAACATTTGCACAAAGATATACAGGAGAAGAAATAAGATGTTTGATATTACATTTTTAATAACATAAAGTTTATCTAATATTGCAGTTCTTTTGCTTCATGTTTCGAAAAATTAGGTTCCTTTAAAAAATATGAAATTCAATGGTGGTGTATGAGTGTTAACTTTCTTCTGCTTTATATATTATGCCAAAGAAAGGCATGTGTGGCATTCCATGGGGTGGCAGTAGGGGGAAGGAAGGGAAGGAGAGACAATCAGGGGCAGAAAGGAAGTAAGGAAGGCGGTAGGAAAGGAGGGAGTCAAGGAAGGAAAGGAAACGAGGGAAGGAAAAAGGAGGAAGGGAAGAGGGGAAAGAGGGAGGGATTCTGCACCCAGGAATTCATGCAATCCTCCTGGGTTTTGTTTGTTTTTTTGTTTTGTTTTTTTTTCTCTCATTCCTAATGAAGTCTGATCACAAGCCAAAGTTCTGCACATAGGTACTTCTCCCAAAGATGTAGATATAAAGTTTAACATACTTTGATAATACCTTGTGGGTTTGTTTTCTCAGTGGAGGAACATATCAGATTGAAGGAGTTTATAAATACTACTGAAGGAAAAAACCCACACCAAACAAACCAAAGCACCACTAAACTGTTTGGAAAATCTCGAAGAAAATCCACAGAGTAGCATTATATCATGAGGAAAAGGAATTATAACTCATGTGCCAAAAACCACGTGAACTTTGGTTCAGTGAATTTCCCACTCTATGAAAGCCTAATGTTGTTTCTTTTTCATTTGTTTTGTTAGTTTGTTTTAACTAGTAGGACCCAAGTGTCATATCTTGTTTGTGCATATGTCAGAGAGACACTACAGTACCGGGCTGTGAGAGAAAATAAAACTCACTTGCCAAGCAGCAGCACAATTGCTTCAGTAATTGCATAGTTCAGTAAACAATTGCATGAGTTTACAGTCTTAGTTTAAAGGAAATATTCTCCATCCTTTTATGAGGCTGATCATTTGTATTTCAACTGACATGGTCCTCTTCTGGAATATGAGGAGGCTGCTGTTAAATGTGTCAGTGAAATGACCTCTGTGTTCAAAGCACGTAGAGCTGAAGTGCTTTGACCCAGTGCTATGGGGTGGATTCTGCATTTCCTCCATTGCTGAACTCAATTACACTGCTTGGACTGCTACTCAGCAGTACTCAGGGCTACTCACTGCATCTGGTCTCTGCAGCAGCTTTCAAGTTATATATGATGATTAAATAAATTAAGAAGGTTTTTGGAAAAAGTTACAATATCTTTCACTGTCTTGCATATGCCTTACAAAAGTCTAATTTTTAGAAAATACTCAATAGCTTTTAGAGCTGGATGAGTCAACAGAATTTTTAAAATAATTGGCATCATTTGGTAACAGATATGTGACAACACAAGCTGCCCCTGTAAACTTCAAGCTGGGATAGATTTAATATGAGGAAAAGCTCTATAAGGTTATCTGAGTTATCATTATATGAAAAAGCAAGCCAGTAGCTTCCCTATGCAGAGCATGGCATAATACTGTTACATAATATGTCATGTAGATGTTGGCATTGTATTAACTTTTAGTACTGGAGAAAATCCATGTTATCATCTGATTACTCAGAAAGCACATGAAAGCAGTCTTTCTGTAATTTAATTTTTCTTTCCAAATAGGATCCAGTCACTGTTTAGTGATGGACAAGGAGTAGCCATCTGCTCCTTAACTTCATTATTCCCAGAGCTTGTTAAAACTGAGGAATCAGCATTTTGAAAAGGGGAAGCTCCCTTTCTCCTATGACCTTCCTCACCCTCCCAGGATTAAACCACTGCAAACAGAATTAAAGTCAGGCCAGTAGTACACATGGGGTTTCTCCAGCTGTTAGCTGCTTTGCATTTATTTTTATGCATGAAGCCCTGTCTGAACATCCTCATTTCTTGCAGAGACACAGTTTAATTCTTTACTTCCTGCAGCAAAGGATCCAAAGGGTAGGTGTGATTCACCTCACTTCTTCCCTGCACCCATTACTCATCACTGTTTGCCATTGGGAAGGCAATACACTTGACTGACCTCGCACATTCCCCCCTCCCTTTAATCCCTCTTCCCTCTTTGGGTTGAGTACACCTAGTAAAAACAGGCATCAATTTGCTAAGGAGCAAACAGGTATCTGCTGCTGTTTGGCAAACTTCTGTATGTCAACACTTGGCTGGAGTCCTTGCTTCATTAACTTAAAATCCCAGTTTTAACCCTTTGCTCTGCATCCCTCTCACCTCTCTCCTGCTCTCATATTGGATCTGGACTTTCCCTTCCAAGTTGTGTTCCCATTCTTCCTCAGCTCCTGGGCTGTTGAGCTGATTTTTCAGTCCCATACTCCTTTCAGGAAGGACTGGGGCTGATGATGGAGAAGGAAGACAGGAGGAAAAGAAAAGGCAGGAAAGTGAGGAATGTGGGGAACCGGGTAGAGAAGAAAGGAGGCAAGGGAGCAGGGCAAGGAGGAGAGTAGACAGGGAAGACAGAAAATGGGAAGGCAGGAAGAAGAGAATCAGAGAAGCAGGGCAAGGAAGACTGGAGGCAAAAGAGACAGAATAGATAGGAGACTGGAAGCAGGAAAAAAGGCAGGGAGGCAAGGGAGGCAGGGGAAGCAGAAAAGGAAAGGGGAAGTAAGGGAAGTAGAGCAGGCAGGGCAAAGAAGAGAGGCAGGGAGACGGGGAAGGAGGCACAGAGGCAGAGAGCAGAGGGAGGCAGAGAGCAGAGGGGTAGGACAGGCAGGAGAGACAGCCAGGGGAGGCAGGAGGCAGGGTAAGGAGGTAGGGAGGGAGCAGGCCAGCTAAGATGCAGAGGAGGCAGGGAACAGGGCCAGAAGGGAGCAGGGAGTCAGGGCAGGCATGAGGTAAGCAGTGGAGGCAGGGGACACAGCGACAGGGAAGGTAGCGAGCAGGGGAAGGAGGCAGGCAGGGCAAACAGATCAGGCAGGAGGCAAGGAAACAGAGGCAGAAGAGAGAGGTTGGGAGGAGGGAGGTAGATCAGGCAGGGAGCAGGGCAGGCAGGAGGGAGCAGGGGAGGCTGGGCAGGCAGGACGCAGGCGGCAGGAGGCAGGGAGCGGGGCAGGCAGGAGGGAGCAGGACAGGCAGGAGGCCGGGAAGGGAGCGGCCCCCTCCCGCAGCCGGAGCTGTCCGCCCAGCGGTGCTGAATCGCCGCACCCCGGGCCCGGAGGGGCGGGAGGCTCCGGGAGCGATCAGAGCCTCCCTGCGCAACCCCAGAGAAGGCAAATCCAAATACCTGCACAGCGCCGGCAGCTGCCGTGGGGCGGCGGAGGGCTGCGTGGGGTGGGTTTTTCCCCCTGTAGATGTCCTTGCTGCTGAGATGGGTGGGCGAGAAAGATCTCCCGGCTCCCGGGTTCCGGCTCAGATCTCTCTAGAAAACTGAATGAGCGAGCGCCAGCTCCACGGGGCTGTGATTTTTTTTTTTTTTTTTTTTTTTTTTTTTTTTTGGTAGGAGGCGTGTGCGCCAAAGCTTGGGTCCTTCCACTGCCGTCCCCCTGGGTCCTAAGCCCTCCTGCCGCCCGCTCGGCTGCCTCCCGGCGCTCCCGGCGCCCCTGGGATGCGGGCTAAGTGCTCCGTGCCGCTGTGGGAGCGGTGGGAAGCGGCTGCTGGCGGCCGGGAGGGCTCAGCACCGCGGGCTTCTACCCAGCGGCGTGGGCTTCACCGCCTTTTTTTCTAGCATCGCCCCTTTCGCAGCGAAAGTCGGGCAGAGCACAGCCTCCTGCGGCATTTACAGCAGCCACGGAAAAAGAGTGATCTTAATGGACCACGTATTATCGACCACGGGCTGCTTTAATGAACATGGCAGCCTGGGTTTATAAGAGAAGTTTCGTCTGGGTCGGACTGCAGGGACATCTAGCTCAGGGTGCTGTCAACAGCAGCACCCACAGGAAATGTCTGGTGAAGAATGTGAAAGCAGGACAATCTTCACCTCTGCGCTCTCTCAGCCCCTCTCCCAAGTACTTCAAGTTCAGGAATTTTCCCAGCAATGTAGTACCTGTGTTTTTCAAATGAATTTGTATTCCTTGAGAACAGTGTCTCCTTGAACACTCATAAATTTCTAGAACATCCTTCCATAATGTCTTTGACTAGGCAATCTATCTATTTCACAAACTATCACCTGTCTTTCGTTATAGGGATCTATAAGCTTTTGATAGTGGTGTAGAAAGGACAGAAGAAGGGAACTTCTTTTATTAAATTTGGTCCTGAAAATCACTTTCTGTACAAGCCTCATAAGACCTGTATTAAACCATACTTGGAAGACTTTGGGTGACATAGTGACCTTGGCAACCAAATTCACACCCATCCGCTTTTATCAACACACTAAACCCAACTAAATGTAGGTTTCTTCTTTTGTTACCCCTGTACATTGTGGAATAAAATTCCTGTGAAGTGGTGGATGAAAGTCAGCTGATTGTCCTGGTTTATTTGCTTTAGGTATATCTATTGAGTGAATTACTGAAGGATCTTATGCAGCAAAGAACTAGGTGATAAATGATAAAGATAAGGAGCAACTTCTACATGAGAAATGTAGACAGAGTAGGGTTCTTTAGCATGGAAAAAAAAAAGGTGAGTAAGTGTAGATAAAACAGTGATGTGGGTGGGGTTTTTTGTCATTTGTAACATTTCATAATAATGAGCAGAATGAGGAAGATAAATTGGAACAATATCTCAGTATTATTTCCAGTTTTAGGAATAGGAAAAATGGAATCCACTAGAGGCTAGCTTTGATTCAAACAAAAGGACATACTTGTTCACAAAATATTTAGTGAAGCTGTAAAACTCATTTCCAAAGGAATTCACGCTTCAGAAAATTGTAGGACATATTTATGGGAAAAGAAAAAACATTAAGGGCTTTTAAACATGAAGTCATGACCTCTGGCTCTGGAAGTCCCTGTTCCACAAATTGCTGAAGGCTGGGGTAATATTTATATGATTATATATGATTATATCCTTGCCCTGTTCTTGTTCTTTACCTTAGCCATCCACTGCTGATCCCTGCTGGAGATAGGCACTGGGTTCGATGGACATTTGCTCTGACCTAGTATTGACTTCTCTTATATTCTTATATACAAAGTAGACTTTGAGAATGTGAATGCAACAGGATCCATTTTGGTTTTGCTTTCCCTTGTAAGGGGAACATCCAGTGGTTTGATTCTATTTCAGAGAGTGTGCGTCCAGACAGAGTCATTTGCTTTTTAGAGGAATCACCCCAATATTAATGAGCAAAGGCAAAAGGAATCTGTGGGGAAGACGACTTGTGCTTTTAGAATGATTTCCATGCACAACCATTAATTTAACCCAAGCATGTCTGAAACTGGAGTATGAGATATTTGCATCTTATGACCCAACCACATTGAGTGGAAGACAAGAAGTAGCATCTCAAAGCAGAGAACTCAAAACCCTCACAAGAGCATTTGTCCCACCACTTGATATAAAGTATTTCTAGCTCCAGGTAAGTCAATAGTCAGTTATTAAGCAGTCTCATTAGATCATTATTTTCTGCATAGAGATCAGTTTGGAGATAAAAGAACAAGCACTGTGTTTTCATAATCCTCTTGCAAGCTTCCACTCTTGCACAGATGATAAAGATTAATGTACTAGCTACAGTAACTATGCAGTACTTCCCTGGGAATTGTTAATAATATTATGTGGAATGAACATGACTCTATAAACCAACTGCCTTAGGCAGTTAAATGAGTTGCCAAATTTGATATATACTTAATATTTGGGGATTTAATATTTTTATTTTGTTTAATTGGTGTATTTTTTTTCTTCTGTAGTGTTCCTGTTAAGTGACCACTGCTTACTGATCCACTGGATGATTGACGTGTTGCACAGTCCTATGGTAGAAGCATGTCTCTAAACATATTACAACAGGGCCTTATAGTGATCCCACTGCAAATATTCTCATGTTACATTCTCATGACCACTTTATCACTTCTTCATCCCTTCCTTTCTGCAAAGTCTGCTCTGTACTCTGAGCGCATGCTTCAAGTCATCTCATTCTTTGCATTGTCCCAGTCGTTACACTTCAACCAAAGTTATGACCTCAGAAACAAGAGTGTTGAAGGTATAAACTTTGAGTTTCATAAAGGTATGTCTGGGACATTAGAAACCTCCTTGCTGATGTGCACAGACTGGAGCTTCATCTCTTTCTCATTTGCAGTGTTGAATACATAGAGCTAAGGGGAGAAAAATGTGCCTGTAATCACAATTTGTTACTGAAGGCATTAGAACTGACTGAACACATGGAGTGAACAGATCAGTTTGGAAGGGGAGGATATTTTATACAGCCTTTTCTGAAATTAAAACAGAATTTTAATATTAAATTTATTCTAACCTGACCTTCCTTGTTGCCACATGTATTGTTTCTCTATCTTAACAAAGAGCAAAGAGATCACAAACTTGGGAAGAGAATGTATATTTTCACCACCAGCAGAAGGTATCCATGTTCCTGAACTATCAAGGAAGCCATGGAAGGTCAGAGTGGGTGGTTGCTCTATAGTCTAGGTATGATATATAGTTCCTACTCTCTTTGCAGCAAAATATTTTGTCTTCACTCAGAGAAATGCATAGCCTCTTGCAGTATTTTTGACTCTCAAGAAGTGCTATGAAGTAGGGGCTAGTTTGAACATTTTTGCATCTCTCATACTGCTCTCTCATTCATACAAAGGCCAAAACCCCTGAAATATTTTAATTCATCACATCAGGAATGGATTTTTTTAATAGTAAAAAACAATTCCAAATAAGTGGAAAACTGCTCTCCCTCTCTAAGATTGAAACAGAGATGTATATCTATATAACACATATATATATTGATATATTTTAGAGGGTTAGGGTATGTGAATGCTGTGCATATATATTGCTTGAGCAGAAAGGTTGGACCACATAACCCCAACAGTTGTCCTTTCTAACCTTATTCATTCTGTGGTTCTGTTATATAAGGAGAGAGACAGATCTTTGATGCAATTCAGTATATATCTAGTGTCATTAAATTTCTAAGTGGGATTTCTCCAATATTTAAAGTGTTCTTTACAGCGTGTGAACAGGGAATTTTAGAAATAATCTTGTATAGGATGTTCTTGTATCTTTAAATTTTCTTTTGTGAACAATTTGCTGCAAGTTTCTAAAATTAACAGTCAATTTTAATAATTAATTGGGAGCTCAATCTTTTTCTCTAATCTACAATTACCATCTGGTTTTATTTCCTTTGAAAGTAACTGCATTGAAAGCCCCAGTAGATTAAAAAATAATAATTCTAAAACAGCTTAGACCCAATAAATCACTATTCTTAAGGGAGAAGTAACTCATAGATCACAGTTCAGAGGGATTCATGTTATAAATCCTCCCAGGTTTCCTGAACCTTTAAAATATTTAAAAATTTATACCAAAGAATGCAAAACATATGCAAATTGATTGTTCATATGATTTATTTAATGAGAAAGGTCCAGTTTTGCCATTTTTACTCTTGATGTAGAGAATTCATTCTTTTGCTGAGTTCACATACAATCACTGCTTATGCCACTCTTAGAATAACGTGTAACTGGGACACAAGGAGAGTTTTGGCCTCAAGCATGTAGGGGGGTGAAGCTGGAATGTTCCAGTTCCATGGGAATTGCAGGAGCTGGAGAGAAGATCCAGCATAGAGCTGGAGGTCAGCAGCAGAATTCAGGTAAAGGCAAACTCTCAGAACTGCAATCCACAATTTTCCCCCTCAGCTCCTACCTTACTCTGAAATGGTCTAATCCCCATTGCTAACTTATTTTGGGATTGTGGAGCTCATGGTGCAGACCCAGGCCGAGTATCTTGGTTTTAATGATCAATCAACATTCCAAAACTGCAAGTGAAAATGAGTCAGCACTGCCCTGCCAACCAGGAGGACTAACCGTGTCCTGGGGGGCATCAGGCAAAGCATCACCAGCCGGTCGAGGGAGGGGATTGTCCTGCTCTGCTCTGCACTGGTGTGGCCTCATCTTGAATATTGTGGCAGTTTTGGGCACTGCAATATAAGAAAGATATTAAGCTATTAAAGAGTATCCAAAGAAGGGCCACGAGGATGGTGAGGGGCTTTGAGGAGAAGCTGTATGAGGAGCAGCTGAGGTCACTTAGTCTGCTCAGACAGGAGAAGAGAAGATGGAGAGGAGACCTCATCTCTGTCTAAAATTTCCTTATGAGGGAAAGAGGGGCAGGCACTGATCTGTTCTCAGTGTTGACCATTGACAGAACCCAACAGAATGGCCTGAAGTTGTGTCAGGAGAGGTTTAGGTTGGATATTAAAGGTTCTTCACTCCAAGGGTGGCTGGGCACTGGAACAGGTTCCCCAGGGAAGTGGTCACAGCACCAAGCCTGGAAGAGTTCAAGAAGCATTCAAGAAGTGTCTTTCTGATATTTGCATGTTGGAAATGTTG